GCATTGTAAATTTTGGTCAATGACATGAGACAAAGTATATGTGAACTGCTGTATGAAAAGTGAATTTACTCTGTAAATCTTCACCCAAATCCTAATAAAATAAAATAATAATAATAATAATAATTGTAGTACAAGGCAAAATACATGTGGCAGAAATGACGTCAAAATATTACAATTAGAGTCTTGTCTTGTTTTGCTTTTAGGTCCTCCGAGCCAGGCTATGTGGGCTTTGGGGGATAAAATTGCATCTTCTATAGTAGCTCAAACTGCAGGAATCCCAACTCTTCCCTGGAGTGGCAGTGGTAAGATAATGTTTCTCATTACTGTCTTAAAGAACAAGAAAGCAGAGTAGGATATTTGGAATTACACCTTGGAGCTTAAGTTTGATGAAAATATTTTGGGATGTTTGGCCAAGAAATAGAATCTAAGCTGATTAATAGTACTCTGTATCTCCCAGTTTAATACACTGTTGATTTTATCATATCTTAGGAATATAAATTTAGTACCAATGCATAGATGATGAACTCTGTTCTGTAATGATGTTGGGTCTGAATTTGGAGAAACTGGGAAAATTCATGTGGTTCAGTCTATTCTCAGTAGACTGACGTCTTCTTCAGGGTTGCACTTCCTAGATGGAATTATGCTTTTGCACCTGCTTGGTAGGGGCCTAAGGAGCTCTGGTGGTGTAGTGCATAAGGCATTTGACTGCTAACTGAAAGGCTGGCAGTTCAAACCCACCAACCATTCCATCGAAAGAAGACTGGGCCATATACTTTCATAAAGATTTACTGCCTCCGAAACCCAAAGGGGGTCACTTTAAGTCGGAATTGAGTCAAAGGCAGTGAGTTTGTTTTTTTTTTTTTTTGGTCAAGGCCTAGCTCACTGAGGTAAAACCTGAATAACACCCATGTGCCCAAGTGGTTGCCGCCCAGTGTTTTTTTGTCAGCTGTAATCTATTGATGATTTACTTTGCCTGTTTAATGACATTCAGCCTGTCAGTTGCCTCTCAGTTGATGCAGAAAACTGATCAATAGTCAGCCTTTATTCCAAGCATGCAGAGAAGTAAAATTTTCAAAAAATGATTTTTTCTTGACCATACCAAAAATCAAACTCAGTGCCATTGAGTCAGATTCAACTCATAGAGACCCCTCCTTAGGTTTCCGAGGTAGTTTTGCTGCAGAAGTAGATGGCCCCACCTTCCTTCTGAAGAGTGGCTGGTGTGTTTGAACCGCCAGCCTTCTGGTTAGCAGTCAAATGAATACCATATGAATTATTATAGCTGATAACAATATATAACAATATAAACTTCCTCTTCTTTTTTTTTTTTTTTTTTTTTAAAAAAAAACACTCTAGCACAAGGAGTAGACAGTACACTAAAACCTCTTTCAAATGGGAATGACCATTGTCTTGAGGCTGAACAGATTGGAACTACTGTTACTCAGGCTCTCCAGGGGGATTGCATTACCCTCTCCAGACCTGCTGGGTCAAATCGTTTAAAATAAAAGGTTGAATTTGTTCCTGTTTGAATGGAGAGGCTATAGTGTTCCCCTTGTGGCTGAGTATAGGGACATTCAGGGAGCTTGGAATCATGACTCTGCTGAGACCAATAAAACTGCCATTTCCATTTCCAAGGGCTCATAAAGATTGAATTATTTCCCAGACCTCTGGCTCTGGAGCAGCCCTGAACACACAAATTGAAGGCATTTTGCTTGCTGAGTTGCTGTGAGAAGTCAACCATACTTTTTTTTTCGGTCTTGTGTATCCTTACATTTTTATAAGTTGTCCCCTGTTAGTCCCTGGCTGTTCCTAGAGTGAAAATTTAAGTACCCAGGATCTGCAGTGGCTAACTACGATCAACTCCAAGGACTGATGAGGTTTTTCTGTGTGTCTTTGTTCTTCTTCTTCTATTTTTTTTTTTTTTAATGGTATTCTTTTTTCTCTCATCTACCTTCAATTTTGGATAAATACGAGAACATTTTAAAGAAGGGGTAGGTAAAAATTGACAAGAGCAGAACCTGTCATACTTGCACTTAATCATTGTTATTCATTGCAGGTCTCTGTGTGGACTGGCAGGAGAATGATTTTTCAAAACGTATCTTAAATGTTCCCCAGGAACTATATGAAAAAGGTTATGTAAAGGATGTAGATGATGGTCTGAAGGTAGGTTACTAACTCCAGCAAGTGATGCCTTTCACCTGACCAACTGTAGTAACAAACATAGGGATTTGGAGCCAGGTTCACGATATACCCATGATTACCCATGATAATTTCATGGGTTGTAAGACCAGGAAGTGTAGTGTTTATTTTATTTTATTTTGCTTTGAAATAAGCTGATCATCTGGACAGAATAATATTTCTCATGTGATTAAATTGGAGTTTTAAGGGGGTATGGATTACTCATTTTCTCTTATTACTTGTTAGGATGTTAAAGAGTCTAATAATTTTTCCCCTGTTTGAGTTTTGAACTGATGAGACAGGCAGATAGAGATCAAAATGTTAGCTTTATTACAAATATAGATGGTGCTGAAAATGGCTAGCAGGTGTATAGCAATACTCACATTCATAAACTGAATGTTACGGTGAAACAGAGACTCACTCACTGTTGTTAGCAGTGCTGAATAACCATAGACTTCTTTCCACAGAAGCAGAGCTTTTATACCATTCAGCTTATTGTATGACTGAGAGCTGACAAAGAACGTATGTTTCGCAGTAGGCTGATTCCAAAGGAGAAGAGGCTGACCTATGGTGTGCATGCTCAGTTCCTTCTTCCAAATTCTCAAGCCGTATAATTCACTCTTTTCTTCCTGGCGAGGAGTGAAAGAGCAGAGAAGGGCTGAAAATGTTACTCTAATTATTGTTATCCATGTGGAAACCAGGACCCAGGCAACAGAAGAGCTTTTTCTCACCATTACTTTTTCTTTTTTTTATCATTATCTGGAGTTTGTTCTTCTTTCCCACTTTAACTAGTTGGAAGTGTCTAGGTATATGCTGAAAGAGGCTATCTTAGAAAAACATATTGCATATATTTAATTTGTATGGTCCAGTTAGGTAGTCTTATCAAAGAGATTTTACAGACATGCTTTTTTTTCATAATTGAATTGTGAGTGCTCTATTCTGTTCGGTATAATTTCCAAAGGGTAGAAACCCCTTTGTAGGTAAGTAGTTATTTTACTTATCAATGAAAATTATATATTTTTTCCTGTTTACAATGTTAAAACAAAATTTTCTGGCAGAAAATTTGAGGGACGATAAAACCACCTACAAACCTACCGTCTACAAATAATGTTCATTAACATATTTGTATATTTTCTTCTAGTCTTTTTTCAACTTAATAGATTCATATAATGACATATATTAATATTTATTAATAAACTCCTATAATATTATAAAAATAAACTGTCTCACTGTATATATTGTTTGATAAACCTAGATTTTTTTTCCCCCACTTAATATTATAAATGAACATTTCCCCCAAGTCACTAAATTTCTTCTAAAATATTTTTAATGGCTGACCTGTGGCTAGAGTGTTCATATGTTATTTATTTATTTTTTATTTTTGTGATTTGGGCGAAAGTTTAGAGAGCAAATTCATTTCCATACAGTTCATTCACATTTTGTCTCATGACATGGGCTACAATTTCCCACAATGTAACAGCTTTCTTCCCATTTCCTCCCCATAGTTATGTCTTCCCTGAGTCCTTCCCTCTCATGCAGTCCTGCCCTCCTAGTTTTCTCTTTGT